TCTCTCTCATCTCTCTCATCTCTCTCATCTCTTTCTCATCTCTCTCATCTCTCTCTCCTCTCTCTCTCTCTCTCCTCTCTGTCTCTCGTCTTTCCGTCTCTCTTCTCTCTCTTCTCTCGCAGGAGGATCCGGGCAAAGAGCCACATATAAAGGACTCTTCACCCCTGCCTCCAAAAAGAGCGCCGTGTTTTTTCCTACCTCGCTGCCCTCCACTTTCCCATTCTGGAGCGCTAGCTTTCGCCCCCCCCCCCCTTGGCCTCAAGTCTACAACCAAGGGTGACCGTTGCTCGACAGAATGCAATAGTTGTTATATATTCCATGATCATTGGAGTTTTTTTATTTTTAAACCAAAGGTTGCATGGCAAAAGGACATGATTTGATGGGAGAGGACATGATCAAATCATCGTTGGGGCCATCTTTAAACACTCTTAGTCGTTGGAATTTCCATTCCCTCCACCCGCCCTACGTGCAGAGGGTACCAAAGCAAAGACACCAGTGAAATGGTAAAGCAATATAAAGTGTCTGGAACCTAGGTTTTTGGCAATTTTTTGCACCAGGTCAGGCTATTACTGTACCGTTTTGTCCCAAACAGCACAATGACTTTACAGTAATGGCTGGTGACCTGGTGGTGAGGCTTTCCATTCCACTGCCCTATGAATGGTGAGGCGTTCTTTATTCTTCCCATCTCCCCCTCCATCCGGGCCCTATTTTTCCCCGGTCGCTTCCTGCGCCAGTGCCACTCTGAGGCTTGCCCAGGCTGCTGAGCCCAGGCTGCAGAGGCCATGCAGGTAGGGACCACCTCGGCCGGAATACAACGACGTTGGTCGCAAAGAAGCCAAGCGAATGATTTGGGTGTTTTGCAGCACGGGGTTGAAGACTTCGTCGAAGAGGAATATATTTTTTTGAGTTGGGGGGAGTGGTTCTTTCAGTGATAGGGACATATGTCATCAATGCGTTGAAGACGGTTTTTTTGCGACGGTTGAAGATGCCGCTGATGAGCAGTCATGGTGCTGTCAGCTGTTAGGCTTGGCCATGGCCCGCCACTGGCAGGCGGACCCGTCGCGAGGTTCGTTCGGAACGGCACCGTATCGATGGCATCGATGTAATTATCAGCCATTTCTGGAAGGGTCAATGCCGATCTGGGCATTCGAGACTGTCAATGGTCGATTTTGAAAGAGTGTTTCTTTTGCCACGAGTTTTTGAGGCGAGACTGTCCATTGGTCTATCTATTCGTGATCATTCACGGGCTTTCTGCAGGTTAGACCGCCTGCAGGCGCGGCACTCGAGACTCTCAGATGAGCATGTTGATACGTTGGATGATGAGAAGAAAAGACCAAATTACCAAACCAACAGCTCCGGCGAATTGACATGCTGCCCCCTATTTTTTAAGAAGGGGGTTCTTGTGGCGGAATGCTGCCACGCACATCCAGCACATCCACAAGCAACTGTACATGTTTCGCATGTTGTTGTCACATCCTCAGACCGATGCCCCCCCAAAAGACTACCCAGGTGGCGTGGCCCCACTGCAACGTTTTGGCCTTCGCTTTTTCAGCAAGGCTGAGGGCCTGAAAGGAGAGATGCATGATGATGCATGCGTTGCAAGAGGATCAAGAAGAGTCTAACTACCAGTGTTTGTTTTGGTTGACTCGACCCATATCGAAATCCTATGCCGCGCGAGATAAGTCATATGGGTTTTGAACCAACCTTTTTGTTGATGCAACATTATGCAACCATCCATTTTGGTTGGCACCATGGTGGTGGAACACCCATGATAAACGGTATGTAATCCTAATGTATCATAATTGGTAATACAAAGTTCCTTCGTACTACGTACACGGGTCAACATCCCAACACTTTTCCTGTGGTCGATGGTTCTTCTAAAAGGCATGGCTGTTCACCTCCGTTCATTCATACCCTGCTATGATGGCACAAGACTTGAGGAACCCTTGCAAGGGTCACTTGCAGAACCCAGTGTGAGGTGACTTAAGGTAAACGGCTGAGAGGCATTTTCTTGAAAGGAGTCGTCACGCGTCACCGGGACATGTACCTGGGACACACTTCGGTTTGGGATACCTTGAATCCACCCATTCGCGGGACTCGTGTGGCCACCGATTCGCGGGACTCCGTGTGGCCGAGCGACCTGGGACACACGTCGTGTGCGTTGGTCGTGACCCGTGGAGTCGACAGGTGGACGTTCCCACTCCAGAGCTGGGTGGTGAAAGCATCACCGAAGGCACCATCGCAGAGTGGACGGCCAAGGTGCGCGGAGTAGGCTCCGGTGCGCCAGGGGTCGGGGAATTGCCGGGCCTTTCAGCCTTGGTACTAGCCAAAGCAACCAGGTAACCAACACGAACCAAAAGTCCACCCTGGATGGTCCATAGCTTGGGACTTGATGGTTTCATGAGTGACTTTGGTGTGTATGTGATTGTATATTATGTATACATTATATGTGCGTATACATATATTGATACAGACATATGTATATATATACACATTGTGCAACTCTCTAAATAGTTACACGAACACCGAACTATATACACACTGAGTTCACCCTGCTTGCCACAAGCAGACTGCCAAGCAGACGGGTCGTCCACGGCCATCGTCCTTTCGTCATGTTCGCGTCTTTCAGGTGGGCGAGAATGTGAAGAAGGACCAGGTCATCGCCACCATTGAAACAGATAAGGTGCTTGATAGGGGTCACGTGTTTCGTGGAACGACGTGTTTTGAGTTGGAACCCGTTCTTTTGAATCAACATGTTTCTGCAAGTCCCATCCAAAGATAGATGGGATTGACGTGATTGTTCAAGATGTTTCGAGAATATTCAACCATATTCAGCCATTGGTTGTTG